TGTGGTAATAGCTTCTGTCCACCGCTCATTGACTGGAACTAGTTGCATGCCCCTCTGCACAGTAAGTCCAGAAAGAATCCTTCTCTCCAAAGCTTTGGAGGTGGAAATCCAGGAGATTCCCAGAGCTGCACTGATGGTTCAGAAAGTGTGTATGGTGGGAAGGTTTCCATGATGGTGCAGGAGCTGAGACCGGAGGATGAGAGCTAACTGAGAGGAGGGAAAGGGAGTGTTTTCTCGATGGAGGGCACAGAACAATGAGGAGGTAATGTGTAGGAGCAGCTTAGAGGAGCCAGTCTGACTGGAGCCAGAAGGGAATGGTGGCAGAGAGGTGGTAGGGAAAAGGGAGGAGTGAGCAGCTAACTGCCCGTCTGTACACGTCCTGTAGACCACAAGGAGAGGTGGTTCTGACTCAAGGAGAAATGAATGGCCATTACCAGGGTTTTAGGCAAATGTAGGGTGGTCTTAGATTTGCTTAAGAATTCAGGGAGAACATGGCCAGACACCCACATAAAGGCCAAGAGCGTGTGTCTGGCTGGAGCTATTGGGGAGGGATATGGAACCTCTGAAATTCTCTAATAGGACTGCAGATTCAAAGCTGCATTTTTACCTAAATATAAGTGAAGAGGTAGATCCCAATGATCCTCTTATCTGAGCAAAGAAGCAGTGAGTATATATGAGGTTAGAAATTCAGAGAAGTTGCCAGGTGTGGTGGTACATGCCTAAATCCCAGCAACTTGGGAGGCTGAGGTAAGAGGATTGTAAGTTGGAGGCCAGCCTCAGCAACTCAGAGAGATGCTCAACAACTTACTGTGGACTTACCTCAAAATAAAAAGGATTGGGATGTGGCTCAGTGATAAAGTGCCCCTGGGTTCAATTCCCAACCAATACCAAAAAAAAAAAAAAAAAAAAAAAGAAAGGAACTCAGAGAAGCCCATTTATTATTATCATTTTGGCCAGAAAATACTATTTTGGGCAGTAAGTAGATTTTTTTTCTTTTGGACAGGAAATTTTTAAGAGAAGTAAATTTAAATATTAACCTCAGGTAAATAGATTATTAGTGTGTACAAGGAGTCAGAATTACAGATGCTTTTTGGGGCTAGGTCTATGGCTCAGTGGTGGAGTGCTTGCCTCGAATGTGTGAGGCACTGGGTTCGATCCTCAGCACCACGTAAAAAAATGAAATATAAAAAGTTATTGTGTGCATCTACAACTAAAATTTTAAAAAATAAGAAGAATTACAGATGCTTTTTGGCAGTTCAAATTTTCTTTCAGAGGACACGGCTTCAATTTCTGAAACCTGACCTGTGGCATTAATTAGTCACATGCCCAACAATTTGCCTTCTCTTCCTAAAGGGATTACATTTCCCAGCTTTCTTTGCAATTAAATGGGGAATCATATGACTGAGTTCTAGCCAATGTAATATAGAGAAAACAATTGACCCTTCTAGGCCTAGTGGTATCCTTGATACCTGATTTTATGTACTGTCTGCTCATTCTGTAGTGATCTGGGAAACCAACACTTCAGATGAAAGCCTGGATCCCTGAGTCACCTGACTCAACTGGAAGAAGGTCATTGAAGCTGCATCTGATTATAATGTGAGCAGGAATCAAACCTTTGTGTTGATTCTGGAGCCTACTTATTACTGCGGCAGAACTTATCCTATACTGACTAACCCAGAATCATGCAGAACTTCTTTAATACAGTAACATCTGCCAGGACAATTTCATGATGTGAAAAGTGTCTGTATTCAGGTTGCCTTGTGGAGTTGTGCAAGTCAAGCACTGTGCAAAGTATCCAGCCAAGAGACGAGTAGGAATCCAGTCCATGCTCTATTCACCAAGCCAATAAGTACCCTCATATAGGGCTATGTCCATGTGGAAAGAGCCTTTATAAAATTTACACTGAGATGATACATAGGCTGTTGGCAGCCTTGCCTGCATTTCTGTGACTTCAAAAGAAAAAAAGGGACTATTTTCCCCTTCTCATCTCCTCCTCAGCAGGTCAGAGGAGCTAGATTGCAAGGCCAAGTACAGTAGCCCCACCTTATCCACGGGAGATGCATTCCACAGCCCCACTGGTGCCTGGATCATGGATAACACTGAACCCTATAGATGCCTTTTTCCCCTATACATCAGTACCTATGATTAATTTACAAATTATGCATAATAAAAGATTAACAATAACTCATAATAAAATAGAACCTTTATTATTATACTGTAATAAAAGTTATTTATTGATAATACATTTGTTAATCACTTCTGGAATTTTCTATTTAATATTCACAGGTCACAGTTGACCACAGGTAACCAAGAACATGAGTGACTGATACGGTAGAAAGTAACACGGCACAAGGAGGATACTTTCCTGGAATAACATTTATTAGCAATTTTTTTTTTCAAAAAAGTAAGCCTGAGAGATTTTTTTTTTAAAAAAATGACGATACAGAAGGGAAAGGGCAGAATGGATGGTTAAAAATGGAATAGCCAGGCTCAGTGGCGTGCACCTCAAGTCCCAGCTACTTGGGGGATTGAGGTGGGAAGACTGTTTGAGCCCAGCATTTTGAGACCAGCCTCGCAACAAAGTAAGACCCAGCTCAGAAAACAAAGATTGGAGTGTGGAGCACACTGTGTCTTATGCTGTGCTCTGCAGTGAGGCAGAGGGTGGCCAGGGCAGGCCTGACCACTTGGTGGTGACCATTTCTCATTGTCCTATTGGTCACCTGCAAAGTGGCTGCTACTTCTCTTCCCACCCTGTCAGAATCACCACTTTAAATGGACATTCAATCATGTCCCTCCACTGCTCAAAACTCTCCGGGGGCTCCCATCTCATTTCTAATAAAGACCTGCTCCTGAAAGCTGGGCATGATGGTGCACACCTACAATCCCTGTGGCTTGGTAGGCTGAGGCAGGAGGTTTGCAAGTCTGAGGCCAGTCACATAGATTTAGCAAAGCCCTAAGCAACTTGGCTAGATCCTGTCACAAAATAAAAATTACAAAGGGCTGAGGATGTGATATGACTGAGTAATTAACTGCTCCTGGGTTCAATCCCTGGTACCAAAAAAACCCCTGCCTCTGGTCCACAAGACCCTACAGGATCTAGCCCCTGGATATTTCCTGGATATCCTTCTCCATCGTGGCTGCCTCTATATCCTAGTTAGCTTCATTGGAGCCGCAAACATGCCCCCCACCCCCAACGTGATATATACTATCTCTACAGGCTTCCTCAACATAGCTGCTATGTTAGTCAGTTTTTCATTACTATAATAAAATACCTGAAACAATCATCTTTTAGGGAGGAAAGGTTTACTCTGTCTCAGTTTCAGAAGCTTCATCCCATGATCGGTTAATCCAGTTGCTTTGGGGCCTGTGGGGAGGCAGCACCTCATGGTGGGAACATGTGGTGAAGAAAGCTGCCCATTTCATGGTGTCGGGAGAACAGGAGAGAGAGACAGGGTCCCTATATCCCATTCAAGGCCATGCCCCAAAGACCTAACTTTCTCCCATTAGGCTCCACCTTCCAAAGGTTCTACCACCCCCAATTGAGCCACGGGCTGGGGACAAAGTCTTTAACACATGGGCCTTTGGGAAACACTTATCCAAACCACAGCAGCTGCTTATGTCATCAAAGCAGCAAGACTCTGTGCTCCGGGCTGCCGAGGCAGGTCTTCTAGGACCCAGCCTCCTCGGGAATGGC